ATAAGACTCTTGGAGAGAGATGACTTTCTTGCCCTTTGTTGGAGGTGGAGACTGAAAACCCGAGAGAGCAATAGCTTACATCTTCATGAGGAGCGTTCAGCAGCAGCAGCTTTGCCACGCTCCTGTAGATTCACAGTGGCCTCACTTCCCACTAAGTGAGCCAAACCCTCGGTATCTCCTGACACAGCCAGATCAACATAAGAAAGTCAACAAATGTAATAAGCCACACTGACAGAACAAAGAGCAAAAACCATATGATCAACTTAATAGATACAAAAAAGATCTGATAACATTCAACATTTTTTCATGGTAAAATCTCAGCTGGGGGCTGCAGGTATAGCTTAGTGCTTTCCTGGAAAGGCTAGGTCCTGAGTTCGATTCCCGGCGCCAAAAAAAAAAAACACCTTCAAACCAAAAAGCATCCAAAACTCTCAGCTGAAAGTCAGGTATTGCAGAATATGCCTAATTTCAGCATTTGGGAAACTGAGGCAGGAGGATCACTGTGAGTTTGAGGCCAGCTTGGGCTACAAAGTGAGTTCAAGGCCAGCCTACACTATGTAGTGAGGCCCTGTCTCAAACAGCAAAGCACAAACCCAACGTGGTGGTGCACACCTGTAATCCCAGGCTGGGGAGGTTGAGACAGGAGGATCACTGAGTCCAAGCTGCAAGCGAGCTGCATAGGAGACCCTGTCCCAAATAAATTAATACACAAGTGGAATAAGTGCTTCTCTGGCAAGTGCAGGGGCCTGAGTTCAATCCCCAGTTCCGCCAAAAAAAAAAAAAAAAAAAACAGATAAATAAGCAAAGCAAAACAAAAAACCAAACAAGACAAAAATCCCTCTCAACAAATTGGATACAAAAGGAATGTATGCACGGTAAACATGTGCCACGCCACAGCTAGCATCTTATGCAATGGGAAACAGTTGAAGGGCTTTTCTCTAAAACCCAGAGCAGGATGAAGACTCAGCTTCTTCCACTTCTATCAGCAGTGCTGCCAGTTTAACCTGAAAGCAGCTAAGCGAGAAAAAGAACTAAGAAGCACCCAAGTTGGAAAGGAAATTACAACTGTTGGCATCTGCAGGTGTGGATTCAGGAAACCCTGAAAACTGCAA